TAGATTCAAATGGATACTTATCAGTATTAGGGAGGGTTCTAGGATAAGGTCTTATGAGTGGCCATTTTTTGAGTGGGATGTTAGTGGAAAATCGCGTTGGGAATCACGAGTGTATCCATTCTAGGTTTATATCTAGAACGAGGTGGGTTAGGAAATCTATATGTCAAAGGCATCAACTGGAGAGTTCAAGATTTAGCTTATGTGTTTGTGATCTGGGATGGTTCTACCTTTATACACGTCGGGAAAGTGATGAGGTTTCAGGCTCATAGAAGTAGTGTGTTAGTCCAACAGTTGAGGAAGTCAGTATTTTGTATCTCATTGTGTTCATGGAATCGTTATCATCAGGAGTTGTATAAATATTTTGATGGATAAGTGTCATGCCTTTTGACTCAACAACTGGGTAGGAATTCGGTATTTTAGATAGTAGGCAGAGAAGTTGGGACCAGGGAGGTCTCGGTTGCTTTTAAAAAGCAGCTAGGAGGCAGCATACTGTTTTGGGCAGTGTTATTGATTTGGGATCTGTGTGGGTGGAGTAGCTTGTTGTTCGGGACATTCTAAGTCAATTGCGGTTGGGATTAAATAATCTCAGAGTAATTGATTTGACCCTGTTGCGCAGCTCTCGTTTGGGCCTAACCATCACAGTGATGAATCTTCTACTCAAAGGATTATCTGAGCCTTCTGTACAATATAAGTGTTCTACAGTTGTTTATGGGTAGTGACCTTGTTAGTTGCTCCCAGTGGTAGCATCAAGATAATCAAGGTTGGAAGTATTCTGTTTATTCTGGTATTCAAGGTGGAATTGGCATGGTAATGGTTAAGTGTGGGCGGTATGTTTGGGGGTCATACCAACATGATACTTTAGGTTTCGGAAAGGTGGAGGTGGTTTTATGCATGGGTTTATAGATTCGTTCGTCTTTGGGACGGAGAGCTCTGCTAGAGATTAGTTTCAGTTGCTTTGGGAAGGTTATGGTATGCTCTGGGTTGTAGCTATGTTGCTCATGTTTTTTGGCGTGCCGAGGATGGTTAGGAATGATTTCGAGGACAAAATCTAATTTAAGTGGGAGAGAATTGTTACGCCCGATCCATATATATTCTATTTTTGGTCCCTCATATATTTAGTTATTGCTTTTGTTCTTGTTTTGCACATTTGGAGTGGGAGAAGGGACCATTTCTGTGAAATTCGGATTTTGGAGGCAGAGCTCGAATGCGAGGCGCTCCCTTGGGGAACGCAATGCGTTCACGCGTAGAGTTCAAACCCTAATTTTTAGGGTTTGATACCTATTTAAACACCTTAAGTCTCAGGCGTTGGCCTCATTTTCAGCCTCTATAGCTCTCTAACCCTGATCTCGAAACCCTAGAGCCTTCAAGAGTGTTGTGAGTCCATTGTTTGTGTTTTGGTGTGTGTTTGAAGCTCATTTAAGGAAGCGAAGCTTGGTGCAAGGTAGTGGTTCAAGAAGGATCTCATAGATCTTGGTTCTCTGCTTCATTTCCAATTCATTTGAGGTATAAAGCTCTAATCTTACTCATGAAAACCTTAGATCTAGGTTTTCATGGATGTTAGTCCCATGGTTGAAATCTAGTAGTTTGTGATCACTTTTGAGGCTTTGAGTTGCTCCTCTTGGCGTTTTTGAGGTTGTAGATTCATATAGTTTGCATCTTTTAGAGTTGTATAAGCTTCATGCATGAGATTAATCCCTTTATGGAAGTTGAATGCTATATTTTGGAGTTAGAACCTTTTAGGGCATACAAAGTCACCAAGTCAGTGACTTTATGGTTCTGGATGCTCTTTAGGACTTAGATCCATAGTTTGGTCGAGTGTCTTTAAGCATTAAGTGCTTAATAAGCTCTTTTTGGAGTCATTGTGCGAACAAAATACACTAGGTCGAGGAACACCCTACGTTCCGACTTTGGTCCGCGATCTGGGTTGGTGGCGAACGCCCAGCGCTCCACCAGGGAACGTTGTGCGTTCGGAGCATCTGTGGGCTTCTTGGATTTTTTCCTTGGACTTGATTGATGGGTTTTGGGCTTAGTAGTTGGACCCATGTTGGACTAAGGATTTTGAAGTGTTGGACTCCTTATTGGACTTGCCTTTTTTGGGCCTAGGATTTTATATTGGGCCTTGGTGGACCTAATGGATATGGGCCTTAGGGTAGGCCCAATGGCCTTAGACCAATTATGGGCCTAGAAGTAATTTGGGACTTTTGGATCAAGATTTGGACTTGGGCCTTGGCCCAATTAGGAAAAAGGGTAAATTGGGCATTTACCCTAAGTATGGGCCCTTAGTAAAGGATGGTATTCCAATTGTTAATTGGATGTTTGTTTACTATGATAGTTTGGGACTTTCATGAGTCAGCAGTCAGGGATTTCAATGCAGCTTGACATTTGAGAGGTGAGTTTTCCTCAACGTACTTAGGGGTTGAAGGCACCAAGGCCGGCCCTTTGGTTTGATAACCAAGTATTATGATATGTTGAGTATGGATTAGATATGTATGTTAGATTAATATGCTAGTCTTGTAGGTCTATAGGACTACCTGTGATACTGTCTGTTTATTTGTATATGATATTATATGTTATATGTTGACATATTTTGTGGGTAGGTTGAGTTAGTATTGCTTTGTGCCATAGAAAACAAGCCCTGGAGTATGTCAGTTATGTGCTGAGGTCCAGGGAGGGCATGCCAGACTCATACTAAATACTCATGAGCATTCCAGATACGAGCTGAGTATCGTGAAGGTCATGCTAGACTCGTATTACGAGCTTAACGGTAATCAATCTGATGACTGGTCAGGCCGGGGAGCAAGCCAAACATAAGTTGTGGGCCCATAGGGCAAGCCATACTTATGTTGTGGGGTTAGGAGTAATCCAGTCTATTATGATGTGGACCTATTACATGATGTTAGTATATCTGTGCTATTTGTTGTGTATCAGTATGTTGGAGAACTTACAAAGCTTTGGGATTACAGTTTTGGATTATGTTTCAGGTACCTCAGAGGATCACGGGAAGGCGAAGGCGTGATCGTGTACCTCCTCATGTTTTTGTTTTACAATTTTGGGATTTCTCTAATGTTGAACTTATTTTGAAAATAATTTGTAAACAAAGATGTTTTGGGGTTATTTAAAAAGTTTAAAATTTTCAAGAATTATGTGAATGTTACACTCTATTTCAATTGTATAAGTGTAAGAATCATCTCCAAATGATTTCTCAACTCATGCTCTTTTACTCCATTGAGGCTAAATTTCTTCCTCCAATTCTTCTTCTTGAGAAGATTCTTTATAAACAATTGCCTCGGGAGCACTTGTGTTGGACTTATTAATACACAAAAAAACAATTTTAAAGAGCGATATGTTTCTAGACTCCATTGCGACATTTTAGAGTTGTGTACAAGAAAATGTTAAACACTATTGTTTTGTGCTTAATCAATAAAGATGCAACCAAAATATGGGGTTCAATCTTTACAACTTTAGAGTAAGGTATAACAACCTTTGCGAGACACCCCCACATTTGAATGTATTTGTAAGATGGTTTTATACCTGACCATAACTCATATGGTGTTTTATCTGTTTTCTTTTGGGGTACCTTAATTAAAAGGTGATTAGTTGATAATACAACTTCCCCCATATTGAGGGTGGAAACCCAAAACTTAATAAGATGACATTCATCATTTCCTGTAAGATATAGTTTTTCCTTTCCGTGACGTCATTTTGTTTTGGCAAATAAGGTACAATAATCTCATGTATTATACAATGATTTGCACAAAATTATATAAATGGTAATACCTATTAACCTCCCCAATCACTTATTAGTACTTTAATATTTTTTGTTGAGTTGATCATCAACTTCACTTTCAATTTGTCTATCGTTTCATCTGTACTTTTAAGTAAAATAGAAATAACATAGTTTAGTGAAATCATCAATAAAAGTGATACAGTACTTATTCCACCTTTAGATGGATTCAATTTCATATCACACACAACCATACGAACTCATCCAAGGGGTCCAATGGATTTTCAGTGGACTTGAATGATTTTCATGTTAACTTTGATTCAACACATGTGTTTCATCCATATTTTGACTTATATGAAATTGAGGTATGTGTTCAAGTTTGATTAACCGTCTTAATGTGTCAAAATTAAAATGTTCAAGGATAACATGCCACACATTAGAGGATTTAAGCAAGTAAGCGGAAAAGTTATCTTTGTGGTTCATCTCTTGCTATTCGTGCTTATTCATCGGTTGGTTTTCCTGACGATTGACGATTCACTACTTATTAGTTGGAGTTCAAAGAAGCAACAGACAGTTGCTCGGTCGAGTATTGAGGCTAAATATCGGGCTTCAAACCTCTATTAGATATCATCTTTCTCTCATTAGCTCTGTCTTCCCATCTCTTGTCCACCAACTATATGGTGTTATAACATTGGTGCTACATACTTAATTGTTAACCCTATTCTTAATCAACACATAAAACATATTGAGATCGATGCTCATTTTGTTTGTGACATGTTGCTTTCTGGCACTGTACGAGTGTGTTATGTTCCAATGATTGTTCAACTAGCCGATATTCTTACTATAAGGGCTTGTCTATCCCTCGTTTTCAAAGTATTCGTAACAAGCTTTATGTTGCTCCCGCCGCTTGCAGGGGATATTGAAATAGTATAAGCATAAAAGTCAAATAGGAAAGTCAATGAAGAATCATTTTGGTTATTGTTCAGACAATAAACTCCTTTAAGGAGTCTCCTTTAACAAGTCAAAATAGACAAATAATTAGTCTATAAATACATAATTAGTCTTGTACTCTTTCTTTTCTTATCAATATCCAAAGCCATAACACTTGAGCTTTTAAATCAAACATCATCCAAAACAGCTTTTCATAACTCCATAATGAAACCACGTTTACAAAGCATGCAAATTATCTACATCAATCAATATACTAATTAAATCTTTTTTTTTTTTTTGTCAATCCTTCACCCTGTTAAACGTCCGAAAGCAAGAGACCAGCTTTCGTGACACACATAAAGAAACCTTAAACAAAACAAAGCAAAAAAAATAAAAAATAAAAAATAAAAAACAAGTCAACAAGCCAATAGATACTAAAAGTAGTTAGCTTTAAACTCCTTTCCCAATATTCCATCGTCTCTCCTTTTCCATGTAGTTTTGTTGCTTCACTCTTCTCCCATTCGCAAGAACTCCTCTATGAGCCATACGCCCTCGACTACCAATCGACACTCTAACCCTCTCCACCGCTATATTCAAACCACCCACTCTTCGTACCTGTTGTGGTGGTTGCATCATCATCGGCGACTTCACCTGGTTTTTCTTAAAGCTTCGTCTTAAAGCACTCATCAGCTTCTTTCCACTTCCATTGCTTCTTTTCGGACTCTCCTCCATACAACACTCACCGGTTTCATCCAAGTTCTCGTTACCGGATTTAATCGACGGCAATGGATACAGCTGCGGCACGTACTTGCTGAAAACTGGTGCTGCGGAAGGTAGTGGGATTAAAGAGTTCCGCCGTGGTGGTACTGATCTCACCGGAACTCGCTGTGAAGTCGTCGTGCAAATTGAGGCTCTACCTGTTCGTTTTGGAGCTGTGAACTGTTCCGGTAAATAAGGGTTGTTTTCTTTTTCGATGAAGTCGTCGACGTCGAGATTGACCAAGTCTCTCGCCGGAGGAAGTGGCGCCGGCAGTTTGTAGGTCATGTTCTTGTCGATAAGTGGCTGTTGGTTTTCTTTGCTTTCGTCGGAGTTTTTATAAGTATTCAATGGTTTAGAAACAAGTGGAAGTCGATGATCGTCTAGCTGTTGTTGCTGCTGCTTCATTTGTTGTTCGGCTATCTTCGTGTCAACATGTTGTCGTGCGAGTTTTCTCTCTACCAAAAGCTGCGATTCCAATTCTTTAACCTAATAATAATGAAAAAAACCCAAATCAGTTTCTGATCATGATCTCAAAACCCAAATCAGTTTCTGATCATGATCTCAAAACCCAAATCATTCTTGATGTCGCGCACCTTATCTTGAAGATACTTGTTTTTCACCTCTTTCTCCTTCAACTTCATGTCTAAACCATGGAAGTTATCCTCCATTTTCTTGATTTGCAGGTCTTTGTTCTTCATCTCGTGCTTATATCTCTCGGCCTAAGATCATAATTCATAAACAAACAAAAACTATGAGGGTTTGATTCGATTCTTGAAAAACAAGCATGATCGGCAACAAGATTACCATTTGTTTGTATTTCAAAACTTCCGAGCTTTCGATTTGCTTCTTTGCGGGACCCAATTCGATTCCTCTCACTCTGCTTGCGAAATTAAGGGAGCAAAGCGATTCGCTCAAATCGTTCTCATTGGGACTAATTTGCACAAACATCAGCGTCTTCGAATCTCCACCTAACGAGTCTTGAAGCAAATGAGTGAGCTTCGAGTTTCTGCAGAGAACACCCCATGAATGGAAACCGATTAAACAGGCTGAAAAAGATCATAGCTTGCAACCTAATAAAAAACCCTAGAATTTTTCAGTAGTACCTAAAGGGAATATGAGGGCTTTTAGTTGCTAAAGCGGATATAACATCTCCTAATGCAGAAAGTGATCGGTTTATATTTTGAGTTTCTTTCAATCTTTCCCCTTGAACCTCCGTTTTAGCCACCCTTTCACTTCCTGCTAAATCAACAAGCCATAGCTTGCTTCTTGTGCTTTCCCCATTCACCAAATTCTCCCCTTTAACCATCACACAATGTATACTGCACATTTACAAAAACATTCTAAGAAAGTGATCTACAAATAAAAGTTTTATTATTCTATCAATATCAACAACCACTGAGCTGGCTCACACAGTCCATATTGGAACTGAAACTCGGACACTGTAAACAAGACTAACCAATGGGATCGGCTACTATGCTCATTAGAATTGGTGGACCCAACGGCCCTTGCATTACTCCCGGTTTTAAGAACTTCCCAAACTTCACCCATGTTGCTAACTTGAGCCTCGACTAACCCGGGAACATGGTGCAACCCTTCACCAACTTGTCTTATTTCAAGCCTACACAAAAATAATTTAGGGTTACAAATTTACAATCAACAAACAACACTAGTGACTAATGTACAAAATAATAATCATCATCAGACTCCACAACTCAACAAAATTAATATGTTTTACCTTTTTGCTGCGACTCCCGGTTGTGAACTTGGAAGTAATAAATCGCGAATTTGCTCATTGTAAACTTCCAAAACACTTACACATATTTCATAGCGGATTTGATTCTTGCGTTCATCAATGACACGAAACAACTCTTCAAGAGTTCTAAAATTAACTCCTCGGTTTCCATCTGTGCCCTCCATTGTAAAAGTTTTCCCTGTTCCCGTTTGTCCATATGCGAATATGCATACATTGTATCCATCCAAAACCGATGTTGCAAACGAGGATGTGTCCTCAAAAACATCAACTATAATTAACATAATTTAATAAATGTCAATAAATAAATAAATCAAGTAGGTTAGATGTAAATCAGATGCACAGTGGTCCCACCACTCTGTCCAATTGCATGTTAGATGTAAATCAGGTATTTTAGATTCCACATTGGAATTGTAATTTTAGATTCCTTAGGATGTGAGTTTTACCTTGGTTAGCTTCGGGGGTAAAGACGGAATCAAATTTGAAGGTTTTTTTAAATGCTATGTTTGATTTTACTCTAAGTTCACCATCTCTTGAAGCTTCAAAATCAAATGCCATTGAAGCTCCTTGTGTAATCTCTTCTGAGTTTAATGGTCTACAACGACAAAATACCCTTATATTCCCTGCAAAACCAATCATTATCATAAGTTTTCAAAGGTTTTTTAACATATAACATAGATTATTTTAGAGCTTGAATAATCTAACCTTTCAACTCTTGGATCTTGTTGTAGAGATCTTTCCTTTCTTTAGCTCCTTGGGTGAATTTGATCTTTAGCTCTTCATGTTGTTTAGCTTGTTCATCGACTATCAAATAAAGAACATGAATTACTTTTATCTATTTAAATAAGTGAGGGAATAAGAATGAAATAGAATGTAAATTTTACTTCTTGATTGAATGATACAACTCATGTCATTCATGTCAGCAGCACACTTTTTGTAAGCCTGTGCCTCTTCTAGTAGCTTGATTTGATCCATTTTCATTATCTGTTTCCAAAAGATACATCGTATAAGAACAATAATATTTTGCATAGTCCCATGAAAATTACATTAATGCCCATCCCTTGTTTTGGTACCTTTAATTTTCTTGATATATCTCTTAAGGATGAGAACCATTTACTCTTCTCCTTCACTTGACCTTCAACTGCAAAAGCTGTAAAAATAACAACAAAGTCAAATGCTGTTTTTTATGCAAATTACAAAAAATTACTATAAGAAAACGTTCATACCAAGTGATCCAACATGCATTGATTTTCTCATTAGCTCGTTTTGAAGGTCCCTTAAAGACTTCAAAGCTTCTTCACATTCTTTACTCTTGCATTCATTCTCCATTTTCATCATCTCCAATTCCTTCTTTGCTTTCATCAATTCGTTCTTCTGATTCTCATACTTTTCTTGAAGCTCGTCTTCACCTTTATGGTAATCTTTTTCCTAAACGCAACATGATCTTTTGGTTAGGGCGAAAGGTCAAAATGGTAATTTGGTACTTGAGAACAATTGTGGAAAGATCATTACTTCACATGATGCGAATGGAAGAAGCTCAAACGAAGCTTCTGAACTACCAAGATCTTCCTTTGAATCAGCTGGATTGTCATTGAAATCATTGATCTTGGATCCATCAGTAATACCATTTTCAAAAGAGAGCTCAATGGAGGATCGTTTTAATAAGATGGGAGAAGAATCATAATTTCCATTAGGGGTATCAGGCGATTTGGGGCTTATAACTAAATCGGGTGAAGTTAAAGAAAACCCTAGCTTGGAATGACCTAGCAATCAAGAAAAAGAGGGAAAAATCTAGTGATTAAAATTCAAGAATTTTGGAAATTTATATAGAAAATTAGGATTAATATGAACCTGTATTGTCATTCTCATGATCAAGAACATCTTCGGTTCCAATTGCTTCTGGGCTTGAGTTCCTCCAGGAATTTTCTATTTCAAGAATATAAAAACCCTAATTAGAACACAACTATCGATTTGTTTCCAAAATCCAATAAAAAGAGATGATAATCGATCCTTTCTACACATTCTTACCATCAAGAACATCGTTTCCAATTGGATCAGTACAATCGTTATCTTTGGTTGCTTCTGGAGTTCGCAAAGAAATTTCTATTTGAAGAACAAATTAGACCAGTTTAATCAAAATCAAGAAACCCAAAACTAAAAATCGAAGCTTTATACACGTTCTCACCTTCAAGCTTGTCAAAACACAGATCATCATAATCAGCCATTACAGAAGTGTGAAAGCTCACAACAGGTGCTGATGATCAACAAAATACGATAATCAGTACAAAAACATACAAACCCTAGTCGCAATACACAGGTTCAATAAACAACATGCATTTTGGAAGTTTATATAAAATTAGGAAAATATGAACCTGTATTCACATTCTCATGATCAAGAACAGCTTCAGTCCCAATTGCTTCTGGGCTTGAATTCCTCCAGGAAATTTCTATTTCAAGAATACAAAAACCCTAATTAGTACACAACTATTGGTTTGTATTCAAAATACAAGAGAAAGATATGATAATCGGTCCTTTATACACATTCTTACCATCATGAATATCATTTCCAATTAGATCAATACGCTTGGTTGTTTCTGGAGTTCGCAAAGAAATTTCTATTTGAAGAACCAATTAGACCAGTTGAATAAAAATCAAGAAACCCAAAACTAAAAATCGAAGCTTTATACACGTTCTCACCTTCAAGCTTGTCAAAACACAGATCATCATAATAATCAGCCATTACAGAAGTGCGAAAGCTCACAATAGGTGCTGATGATCACAAAAATACGATAGTAAGTACAAGAACATACAAACCCTAATCGTAATCCACAAGTTCAACAAAAAAAACAAGTCGATCATCAATCAATAGTCGTAGGTGTTAGCCCACTGAAGCAAAAAAACACATACAGTGAGAACGGATTTCGTGTTGTTGTTGTTGTTGCTGTTGCTGGGGGACATCAGTAATTAGAAGTGGGTCAAATCGATGATCTTCCATTGATGAAAAGAGGGAAGATTTATTTGAATCAAAAAGGGTCAACTGCAATTTTCTTGAATAAAGAGAAAGTAGTGGGAGGAGTGAACACTTTTTCCCCAATCTTTTTGGTGTGTTTGTGTGTGAGTGTTTGAGATGCGATGATTTCGTTTGGAGGTGATTTCACTTTCTTGCCGTTATGTGTGAGATGCAGAAGACCGTTGGGTATTTGAATTTTTAAAATTTTCAACCCGGATCGCGTTCATGCCCTTTTGGGTCAAATTGTATTAATGCAAAATAGTCTTTAAATTTATGAAAGAATTTCTATTTGACCAAATAGCTGAAAAATAGAACATGGTGAATGTTTTACCAAATAGGTTATAGCCTACTTGATAATTCTATTGACCTTATCCTTTTAAATCAATAAATTTTATTAAATTGTATAATTCTTAAATTTACCTTTTGTACTGTATATTTTTTTGACTTATTAAAACGTACTACAAAACTATTGAGTAAGTAGAGAGAGTAATTTAAAGCTTCAAATTGTTTGTTTTATTAATATGAACTCAATGGCTTTTATATAGTCGATACATCAAAATAAATAAAAGATACTCCTAAAATAAATTAAGACTTATTCTAAAGGTAAGACTAGGAAAATTGGAAACTTATTCAAAATAATAAACTAAAAACTCGGACTAAATGATCACCTCTTCATTGTCTTTCTGGATTTTATAAATGTCTTTGCTTTGATTGCTTTAATTGGTATAACGTTCCATTTTCACAAGAAACATTTTTCATTTTTATTTAAGTTAAAACTTCACATTATAGAATTCAAAGTAAGAAAACTCATTTGTTCCAAAATACATTTGTTAATAAATCAAAGTAGTATAAATAATTTTGAATCTCCATTGCTATTGATATGTGTGTACAGTCACGCTTTCGCCTTCCCATAAGTAAGAAAACTCATTTGTTCCAAAATACATTTGTTAATAAATCAAAGTAGTATAAATAATTTTGAATCTCCATTGCTATTGATATGTGTGTACAGTCACGCATTCGCCTTCCCATGATCACAAACAGTACCTGAAAAATATTTAATCCACAACTGTAAGTCAAAGTTTAATAAGTTATCCCAAAATACAACACACAACGATACACATACAATACATGTACATTGGGCCGACAGTGTAAAGCTAAATTGCCCCCGGGCCCACAACCACAAGACTGGATTGCCCCGGGCCCACAACCATAAAGAATAGATTGCCCTGGGGTATGTTGGCCTACAACACCATGAAATACCACCTTAACCCAACCACCCACCTGAGCCCCTAGTCAACAACTGGTTCTTCTCTCGTGTTGTCACATCCCCAAACCGGAACAGCGGAAATATTCGAGGGCGGACGACGTCATGTACAATATCACAACAATTGTATAATAGGAATCAAAGCAAAAACAACCATTACATTGATAAAGTAAAGTATTTACATATGTTCGATACATAGTTTGTATGACATCAAAAGTGTATAACAAAAGTATAAAAGACATAACTCAAAAAGCTCCATCTTCTCAAAACTTGCGGGTGTACCTGTCTACCGGCTCCCTGAGAATACAAGTGGTTTTGAAAGCGTATCAACATTTAAGTTGGTGAGTTTATAAGTATGTTTTTGAGATGAAAAGCTTGTATTTGTTCCTTGAAAATGTTATAGTGTACTTCTAGAAAATCCAATATTTTCATTAGTAATGAAAAGTAGTCTTAGGCCTTAAGACCAAATGTATGTAGTTATTGTACTCTATAATAGTATATGTAGTCTTATTAATGAATAAATCTATATCATGTATGTTTTCCCTAAACTCTATGTTGTACGAGTGTACTCTATACTAGGAAAGTAGTGTATCGTAGTAGTGTTTGTTATGAAAACCTTTGTATAAATGTCTGGTTACCACCGGTTGTCATGTATAGTAGTGTACTGTATGAAAACCTTTCCTATGTATGCCTGGATACCACTAACGGTAATGTATAGTAGTGTACTATATGAAAACCTTTTGTATGTATACCTAGATACCACCAACCGTAGTGTATAGTAGTGTACTGTATGAAAACCTTTTGTATGTATGCCTGAATACCACCAGCTGTAGTGTAGAGTAGTGTATTGTATGGAAACCTTTTGTATGTATGCCTGGATACCACCAGCTATAGTGTACAGTAGTGTAATGTAGTTTTATTAATTAAAATAAAACCATTGAAGTAGTGTTAATCCCGTAAACAAATGTTTTAATTAATATTGTTGTGAGTTTCATACAACCATACTAAACTGACTAGTGTCCTCTACGACGTTCTTCAGGTGTCGGAATGTTATGATGTTTGTCACCTCAGGTGCGGGGTTGTCAATCCCATATAGATCTATACACAAAGTCACGTTCTCCTTCTAGGAGACGCTGACTATAATTTATAGGGCTTAGACCTGTACCCTGATGGGTACAATTGAAGTAGTGCCTCACAACCCTATATTTACTAGTTTACGTGAAGTGTAGTAATGTTCTCTTGTACTTGAAACTGTATGTATCACTTTGTAGTAGTGTACTTTGTAATGTAAAATAATTATACTTAAATAATTATTTAGTAGTGTATCCTTGAATCATTGTAATAAAGTAGTGTTCCATAAACTATATTTATTATAGTTTATATTCTTGTTTCTGTATAGCATTCTTGAACTTGTAAAATAATGTAGTGTCTTCCAAACTATATCTGTTATAGTTTAAATGTATGTTCTTGTTCTATGTATTGTACTTAACAAAATAGTGAAGTAGTTCACAAACTATACCAATTATAGTTTAAATGTATGCACTGTAATATGTTGAAAAACCTTTGCAATTAAACTCTATGTAATAAGTAGCAGTCAGAAATTTGTGATAAACATCCTTTTGCTCGAAATGCTACAAAAGGGTTAAATATATATAAACATATATTTTATAAAATGTAGTGATAAATCGGTTTGAATCAACTACAAAATGGTTTTGAAATCGTTTGAATATTAACACAAGAGTCCTTTCATTTTACTTGAATCCCCCCCCCCCCTTAAAAACATTTAAAAATAGTGAAAACATAGGGGTATGAACTCACCTCTAGTGCGTATTCACGATTGGATAACAAGACTGTAGAGATGATCCTCGGGCTAACCTTCGTGCGAATAATGTTATCCTAAAAATAATTTTACCCGATGTCGTATTTAAAGCAATAAGATATTAATTTAAATAATAGATTAAATAGTTATTTAAATAATAATTAAAGTGTTATACAACATTTTAATCATGTAAGGAATACTTATAAAATTATTTGGAATTATTTGAAAAGTTGTTAGGCGTTTTCGGTGAGAAAAGGGATCTTCAGTGGGCTTGATGAGTTTTCAGTGAGAAAAGGAGTTTTCGGTGGGCTTGATGAGTTTTTGGTGTGTTCTTGGAAAATTATGAAGATTTGAAGATTATTCTTGGGAAAAATATGAAGATTTGAATATTGAATGAAGATCTGGGCAAAATCCTATGAAGATTTGATGATTACGTATGATACTTGAGAGGATTTCAGATGACTTTTGAGAACAATTTGAAGGAGTTCATGATTGGAAAAGTGAGAAATGAATTGAGTTTATTGCCACAACACTTATATATAGATGGGGGTTTCGGACTTAAAAGGCCTTTGTCTTTGGGTTTTCGGTCCATTAAGGGACCTTTAGTTGGGTTTTCGGCCCAATAAAGGGTGTTTTCGGTCACACTTGATCGAAAACCCTAGTTCTTGATTTAATTCAACCGTAAACTCTATCTGAGTTAGATTCCTTGGCCGAAAACTCATTCTTTCTTGATTTCCTTGACTGAAATCTATTATATGGTGGTACTTTTATAGTTTAAACCTTAGTCTTTTAACTTATGTTTATTTATAATATCATAAATCAACTTAAGACTCTAGCTACATTTAGTTGTTAGCTTTTAAACATGACCTTAAGGCAATAGAGGATATATACACAACAAGGGTTGAAATGTGGTCTAGACTCTTATTGATTTGAAAATGGCGCGTTGTTACACGTGTCTACAACTTACAGTTGGCCCAGACCTGGTATCTTGGCCTACAACATGAAGCAGGATCGCCTCAACCTGACGCACCATGATATGTCGAAATATATAATCAAACAAGCAATCAAGTAAACACATAAGCAAAGAAAACTATATACATGATTCTACCTATCTAACAGCTCACTACCGCATATTAGGCCTCGCCCAGCACACTACACCACTAGCAATAAATCTCCAAGGAACACATAGTTAAATGTAACTAGAGGTGAGATAGACATTTGAATAGGTGATCCCACTTTAGAGTCACAACCAAACAAGGAGCATGCAAGAAAAGCCTATATCAAGAGTTCTCAGGTTATCCAACGTGACTACATGCAGCCCGCAGGGAACTCCACTAGACGATAACCAACCTATAGGTACTAACTAGCATACCATTACTCCTATATCCTAACATGCAATGATACATACCGCAACATGTAGTATAGTGAGGAAACTCACCTGAATAGAAGACCCAATGAGACATAACAACACACTCACTTGTTGCATTGATTGCTCCGGCGAACTGACTAGCACCAAACCAAGGTGGAACTGTAATATCCCCCTCTAGCACGTATCATAATATTGTTTGCTTTTAGCTCCTAGCATGAAAACTTACCATGGCATCACCCATCCTGAATTGTTCTTGCCTGGGCACACTTAAATAAATAGTTCTTATGGGATTTGATGCCCTCACTGCTTTAAAACAGGTTTTAACAAGGAATGTATCTACACCCCTTATAAGGAAATGCTTCATTCTCCTTCCTAGCCGATGTGGGATCAGATGCAACCCACCTTCACCCCCTATTATAGGGTTCAGCGTCCCCATCGAACACATCGACTCGTGCCCTAGCTCTGATACCAACTTTTAACATCCCATTTTCACAAAAAAATCATTTTTAATTAAGGTAAACATTCACATTTATAAAATCCAAGTTACGAAAACCATTTGTTCTGTAACACCCATAAAATTCAAGCAAAATTTAAACTTTTTAACACATTTTAAAACCATTAAGTTATTACAGGTTGTTTTCAAAATAGTTTAGACATCAGAGTATTCCCAGAA